AATGGGTAACACAATGTACCTCATATTATCACAATGGGTAACACAATGTACCTCATATTGTTACAATGGGTAACACATTGTATCTAATATCACCATGGGTAACACATTGTATCTTATATCACCATGGGTAACACATTGTATCTTATATCACCATGGGTAACACATTGTATCTGTTATCACCATGGGTAACAGAAACGCTTCTCTTAAAATTTGTTAATAAAACCAAAGACAGACAATGACACTGAAGTTATAAACGTCTGTGTGAGATGTGGCAAGACTTTCCTAATTAAAGCAATAGATTTGATTGACAGGTAAGTCACGCCGGGTAATGGTCTCCACGTGTAACTGACGTGGTGTAAAGATAAGAACACATCTGACCCTATGTGTTAATCACCTGCATGTGTACAATAAAGCACATTTAGCACGTGTTTATTATCATGTAATGTTTTATGAGTAAAGTCTACTCACCGAGTAAGTAAGTGATTTTATTATGTATAGCCCGAAATGTTCAATTTAATTCTAATTATTGATATGTAAATATAACAGGTATGTTGTTTTCATATTCATGATGCACTGTTAAACATGTTTTTAATTCTTCATTTCTAAAAATTCAGCTACATACGGCACCTCCCTCAACCCATCCCGAGGAAGAACAGGAAAACGTATCTAATATCTTACATTTCGGTGTTCTTGTTTCTGAAGTTAATAGAACTATTGAAGTTGAGAGTATAGGTGGCCTTGCTAGCTTTGGAAAGAGGGAATTTCCATTAAGTGGAGCGGTAGAGTGTCTGACTAAAATCCGAAGGGATGCTAGTTCAAATCCCAGCGTTGGCAGGGTGTTTTTCATTACTCCTTCATATTACACATTTGGTGATGTATACCACTCCAATGGTAGTTATAAGAGATTGAGATGCTTCCTTCGAGGTATCGAACCTGGGTTGTGGTTTTCAGGGTCGAAGACTTTGTGAATGAAGTAGTAGTATAGAAGTTGAAAGTAGAAATTATCTTACTAGTCTTGGCTAGTGGGAATTTGCCTTTAGTCGAGTAATAGTATGTCCTGCTAGAGACTGAATGGTGCTTAGTTCGAACCCCAGCGGTGGCAGGGAGTTTCTCAAAATTTTGAGTTTTTGTCCCCAAAACAAACAAAAAATAATAAAAGCCATGTTCAGATGTCTATACTACCATGTACTACCAGGGAATTATATTCCAGATTTGATAGGAATGGACGTTGTATTTCACGAGAATCTGAGTTGTTGTATCGGGTTGCTACCTGACTGAACGGAACATATGGGAGAAGGGCATAGTACGCCGTTCTAAGCAATTAAACTAAAGTGTGTTGTCCAAGGTAACAACCAAAGTCAGTATACAGACCTGTCCGTTTCTCTCTGAGAAACACAAACCGTTCGGACGCATCGAACCACTGACCTCGGATTTTCACCTGAACATGCGCAAGGCTAACTTATTGTAATTGATGACAGTAACCGAAAACCATTCAGCATATCACCGTTGTCGCTAGCATGTAGTTCATCAAGCAATGGACATGGCACTGATGTCATTAAATTATTTCGAAAGCAATGAAAATGTATTCACTGTAATGTGATTCATGAAGTAATGAACACATCGTGCCATCTATGTTCATCAGTATTGAACATTTAAAAGTAATAACAGCATCAAGTATTGAGCATTGTAATCGTATTGTCATTGTATTGAATATTTTGTCGTTTTCACTACATTGTATGTAGTTCATGAAGTATTGAACATTGCCGTTTACAATGCCTGGCTTGTCGTCCAGTGTGCAGATCGATACCTGTATCGGTACACGGCGTTCACAACTTTATAGCTGACCTGTGAACGTTACTTAGCCAAACCGTAACAACTCTACAATGATTATACCCTAAAGGACGCAATCTTATTATTGCAGCATCTTTGTTAATGATTTTTCCCATACAATATGCTTACGGAAACAAGTGTTGATTGGTCACTAAAGAGAACAGTACTAAACAGGTATCAAGGGGAAATCTTTGTTGAAAATATACCGAAAAATACGTTAGGATAAAATTTACAATTGGTTCGCTTAGCCGTTTGATCGACAAACCATTAAAGAGCGAGATTAAAAGGTAATGACGTAACAGCTTTAGTTCAACATAAGGTTACCAGTGGAAGATAACTCTGCATAGCTAATCAGTGGTAAATCCCATAGTAGATAATAGGGTAATTATATAATATATTATATATACATGTCAACTCCGAGGCTTGAAGAAATTTCCTTAAAGCCAAGCGGTAGAGACTGATAGCGGGACAGCGTGTTTTTCATGAATACTCCATCTTCCATTGCTGTGACCAAAATCGTGGTCTTTGGGGTCGAAGACTTTATGAAGTAGGGAACATTGTAGAAGTTGAGACCACATGTCGCTCTGCGAGTCTCGAATAATGGCCTAGTCGCTTTTGTCAAACGGTAGAATGATATGTCGTTAGTTCGCGCCCTATTTTTCAAAGATTTTTTCTATTAAAATGATGCGTAATTAATTATGTTTAGAAAACCCATTAGTGGGTCAGGGGGAGATAACTCTACACATATTAAAATGTTTAGACAATTCCTGTGTTGATCAGCTGTCAATACACCATAAGCAAATCGGGCATAGATAACTCTACATGAGCTAATATGTGGAAGATCAGTGTGAACACGTTTGTGTGAAAATACATTTATGAATATTCAACATTTTAATTAATGTGAGCAAGTAGTATTATATCAAAATGTGAACATTGAACAAACACAAGTACACAGACAAGGTGAACATTTTGTAGAGCATCGTACTCAACACAACAAACAAATACTAGCATACAGAGCACGTGAGCATTGAACAAACTCATGTACCTTGAACACAGAATGTGAGCATTTTGTAGACAACCGTACTCGACATGACGAACAAATTTAAGTATACAGAAAGTGTGACCACTTTGTAGACCACCGTGCTCGACACGACGAAAGAACATAAGTATCCAGAAAATGTGACCATTTTGTTGGTATACGTGTACCAAGATTTCAATTGTGTATTTAGAAATAGATTTGATGTTTTATGCTTCCTCGTAATAGGAAATAAATATGGAATCATATCAATCAATATTTTTGTGCTCTAACTGGAATTAGAAACTTTGTTCTTTCACTCTTTTTCTTCTTATTTTTCCTTTTTATTTATTCATTTGTTTTATTTATCTTTACACAGTTTTGTCACTCGGATAAGCAAGACACATTTAGATATTATAAAGTTAATAGAATAATATATAACATAATAAACAATGTTTATATAGTATTTAGTAATCAGAACAAAATGATTAACTAATTGGACAATAACCATTTATAATCAATTATTAGAAAAAAATGTATTTAAAAGTTACGGTTATATGAGAAGCATGTTTTTGTGTACGACATTTCTAAATATATATATTAGAAAATATAATATTTGTTGTTGAATATTTCGCTATCAGAAAAATATATTGAGAAATAAATAATATATTTTACAAACTATAGCTATACATAATTTATTATATATTTTTATATTAGGGATATATAAAGATTACGGTAAGTTTTGTGAAATACAATTATGGAAACATTAAATATAAGATATTGTAACCAAATAGTTTTAGGGAAGTACACACAAATATTCCCAAACGTACTGCATCTTTTAACAGTTATTAGTAAATTTTATAAAATATGTTGTATTTGTTGTAGTTGTTGAAAGAAAAGGTTTACATAATGACTCCAACAATTCTGTAGTTGTGTTTTTTATCTAAAATTTACATAAGTTTTCACGTGTACTGCTGAAAAAAATGACATATAGTATAACATCGAAGTAATATTTCATATTTACTAAAAATCATATTACATATATACACTTAAACAATATGACTTAAAGCAATGCTTCGAGATGAAATATTAAATGTTTACAAGGATAACATTTAAACGAGTTTTTATAGTATAACGTTAATTTCTGCTTTAAAATGTAGTATTAAGGATAACATATAATGTTTTATTAATTCGCCAACAATGTGCTCCGTGCGTGGTATGATCTAAATTGAGCTGAAATCAACTGTGAAGCGTTATAAATACAATCACTAAAATGAACTGGTGTTATTTTATTTATAGAGTGGCTTTTGAAAGTAAACAATTGGTTGTGGATGTGAAAGTATACGATGATCAAAACTAGTATAATGGACATCTGTTTACTCAGTCATTTTTACACAATACAAGATCAAGGAAACTGAGCATTTATCATATCTATATCATCTATAAAGAGGAAAAAGACGTTATATAATGAGCTTAGATTTTACATACTGCTGTGATATAAATATCATGACATACTCGCTGTATACAAGGTTCACGTAATCAGTAAATTTAATGTTTACTTGACAAGAAAGTACGACGATGATGAAATATAGAACTATGAGGAGATTGTATATAAAATGTCGTTATATAATTAAATGACGTTTTTGCCTGACGGTTACGTTTCCCAGTCATAGACGGTAAATACAAGGTTGTAAGCACAGTTTTGTAATACATAAAAGTAGTGATCCTCTTATCAGACTCGGTCTGTTATATCATGTTTGTGCGGAATAGGTTGATGACCATTCCACATGTACATTCAATACGAGAATATTGGATAAATATTTTTTTCCACTCTCGAAATAAAACACTACTTTGTCACAATCCTTTTCGACACGAAGCTTGAAATGTCTAATGACAGTAGAAAATAGTGAGTATACCAATGATAGGATTCAAATTAAGATTAAATCCACATTTTTACAAAGCCGACATCGGTCAGAAACATATTCCAAAAAATACAAGGGTGACCCCATACAGATTGTATTAAACAATATCAAACATTTTTTTGGTCTGTATAGGAATCTATTGAGGTCTGAAATACTAGGAAAACCGTGTATATACAATACGTAAAACAGGTAACAAAGGATGAGGAAGTCCTCGGCACAAAAATATTACTTACGTTGGCCACTGGACCGCCTGATAATATTTTCCAGGAAGGTATTTTGTGGGGCCACGAGGCCCCGTCTAGCCCCGGGCATGTTGGGTGGGGCTTATCCTCCTACCCACACAAACGACAGCACTAAGTCACAGACGCAGCATCCTGGTCAGGTGTGACCATTAGTCTGCCTACCTAGATCACTGGACACTACTTCAACGTAATCATCCCGATTATCATCAACAAAACCAAATTTTACGGACTCTCCATCTTGACTGGCTACAATTCCTGTCTCCAGGTAAAGCGTTTGGAAAGCGACTTAATTATTAATAATCTTATTTCTCCGTTTGCGCATGTCTGTTACAGGTAATTATGTCTACCTGCCAGAAATTGTTTCATGTCGCTAATTTACGACAAGACTGAAGCTATGATGCGTTCGTCACCATGACGACACCGTGACACTCGGCCATTAATGGTTCATCGTAGTCACTAGCTCAAAAAGCTATGTTTTCATAAATTATTCGCCATTTCGACACTAAATGGTTATAGCTGCTAGTCAGATTCGCGTCAATTCCGAAACTTTGGACTGGTGTACCAGTGAGGAAGTTGTCGTACCGAGACTGAACACGGTAAAATGAAGGTGTGTATTAAGAGAAAAACACTATTAGCAGTTGGTAGCAGCGGGACATATTTTTCTATAGCGTGTATTGATTTTCGTCACAATAGTATATACTGAATAATTAATATGGAACCACTTAACTTAACGTTATCGGAGGGCCGCCCAGGCATCACTCGCTGGTCGATAGCATGTCATTGAGTTTTTACAGAACGACCAGTGATGTGTCGTACACTGTTGTCACCGCCCCGACTCGGCACCCAAACTAAAATGTCAGCTCTACAACATCCCAGGCCAGCGCAAAGCTTACATCAAAGGCTATCGATCGGAACTCTAGTATCGCGAGGAGAGAAATAGGAAGTACTGCCGAGTTACGTTAATAACATATAAACACACATAAACACAGGTATGGTGTTTTATTTGACAATTATCGAACGCGCAAAACTTCCAACTCCGTCGAGGAACTAGCCAAGCAGGTGTTAGAGATGGCTGGCGACAGGTGTCACAACATAGGAAGATAGCTACACACTCAAATACCATCACGTCAACATACCTAACAGGCATTCGTTGTCTAAGTTGGATTTGACCAGGGGGTCATAGTTCGAATCTACCGATCCAATCGTTTCATTCAAATACGAACGCTGACTCTTCAGTATTAATTCGGTTGTATGAATCAAAGTACTGAAAGTACTGAGATACAGACCTCTACACAAAAGATACAAACGAAAGGTACCGCTTAATCGGGAAATGATTAAATTATAGAGAAGAGATCCACTCTTGAGCATTTTTTCTGCTGTGATTAAACTCCTTTATCATGAAAAAGGAAGATCTTCTGTCATTTATTTACAAATCTTTTCATCATAGCGACAAAACACGTATTTCTTTCTTTGTAGCTATGTTCCCAGATAAAGAGATTCATATACCTAGAAGTGAATCTGAGAGAAGAAAGGAATTACAACCATGATAAATACAGCCCAATGATACACATGTACAGTCAATTTCTAACATCTAAATAAAGTTTAGAGACAGAGATTTACTAAATGTAGATAAAAAGGAAGAACAGAGCCGAGCTTAATCATTGTTTAACGATTTATCGATACAAGATAATCTGTTTTATAGTAGTTCGAGCAGAGCTGAAAATCGGTTATGAAAAATAATCTTGTCCTTTGAAACCTTGGAATACATATATGAGAATAACGCCAAGTTTATGTGAAATACCCCTATTTATACAATGCACTTGGCTAAGTCTTACGCAGATTCTCCTAGTTAAATATCTGTTTATACATGTAACATGTTTTTACAAACTTTTCAGAAGTATAGTAATGAAAATTTCTCTGAAAGAAGATGACACTCAGTTACGATTACTGCGTTCATTAAGTGACAGTTATAACTGCTGTACTATCTTGTTCATATTCAATACCAGCTGATCATGTAGTTATAATACAATAGTATCCTCTTCTGGTTATCATTGTTACGCCTTAAGTCATTACTTCTCATAACTGTAGCAATTACTTTTGGATTAGATGAGGTCATATCTCTGGTGAGATAAAATGCTGGTGTAATTTCTGTGAAGACCTCTCCATGTTTACGTTACTGCCAGAGAATGATTTGTCTCCAGCAAAATTAAACAGCTGATCAATGTAAAATAAGGGGACATGGACCTAATTCTTCTCTCCCAACATTGAAATTCATATCCAAGATAGTTGAAGGGATGTAAAATCATTTTTCATAGCACTTGGCCCGGGTAAGTAGACCTGTGAAATCTACTTGTCCGGGATATATGCAGTTGTCAGGTATACCTAGGGTCTATCATGTCATATAACAGGATTTTGGATTTGTATGATAACAGTTACAGTCATATAAATCCTAGCTTTATCTTGGCAGTTGTCATACATATCCCAGGTGTATCCTATACATATATACCCTGTGATGCATCCTTTGTGAAGGCATAATCATTATACAAATCCGTACAACAATCCGGAATACACAATATCGCACAACAGTATTAGCTGGCAACCACCTACCTTAATTCTGAGACAAGATCAATTTGGAAAACAGGAACTTTTTGTGTTGATTTTAAGTGCTGTACTCAATTTTATATATGTTTCTAAACATGTAAATATTGATTTCCGACCCGTTTTCGTTTCTATTTTAACCACCCTATCATGAACACGTGACGTTTTTATCTCTATCGTTCGACAATTATCAGTTTATAATTGCATTTCACAATCATTGACATATCTACAAAACAAGACTAGTGATAAAATTTCTCCTTGTAACAATCCTCTATAACAACTTTAATACGATAATGAATCATTATACTTCACACAACATCTCACACAACTATACAAGGATCCTTAATTTATTTTAGCACCTTCACAGCCATTCACTCCTTCAGCAATTTTAACACTTGTTTTAACGATTGATGAAATAAATGTTTTTGTTTATAATCAATAAGGCAAAACTGTGTTACTTCTTCATTGATGGGGTAATTAACACCAGCATAACAACATAGACTTTTCTTAATGCGATATCAAACTTCCATGCTGTTTACAAGTATACTGCGAAAGGAAATCTAAGCCACGAAACGGCTTAAGAGTCTTTATAAGATTAGCTTCATCGTCAGTACTACGTATCTTAAAGACAGTCTCATCATCTTTAAACAGATTATTTGTTTCTTATTAAAACACTCCAATCCACGATGAGATTTTTACGGAAGACACAAGTTGGTAGCATTTTCGAAACAAAGTAGAGTCCACTAAGTAATTAAACTGCCTAAAACAGCTTTGCCGTCCCTCTAGGATTCGTCAATGATGCTAAGGTCAAAAAACGTTAAATCTGCACGGAAATATAAAGGGGGACTAACTTCAAAATTCAAAGATATTTTATAGATTTTTATATTTTATTGAATGAACCAATGAAGCTTGTAGTGTTTGGTCTGAAATTTCGAAGATTGTACAAGACACACAAGTTGATAGCGCATTTTGATAATCATCAACCTCCGGTAGTCTCCATAACGATGGAAACTAAACATGTGTAGTCTGGTCTTAGTTCGTCGTCCCACATTTCGATGTTCTAACAGGATTTCGAACATGGTAATCAACGTACAGAACCAAGATTTAAAATTCAAATTTCCCGTAAACATTTGAAGTTCTCAAAAAGTACTCTCGGAGAGTGAAATAGTTCAGAGATCATCCTCGCTCTCTGTTAGTATTCTAATTTAGCATGACACAATGTGAACTTATCAGTTTCAAATATGTGCCCTACTTCATTGAGAAAATAACATTTTACCTATTTATCTCATGAACTTTCCGGAAGTAAGATTATGAAAATTATGTACAAATTCTGTATTTAGAATAAGACTTACAAATACAGTAGTTGTGTAATCATTCTTAGATTTGGCAGAATTTCAGGAGATCTAATCATTTCAGTTTCCTTGAATATACTAGATTTCGTACATGTGAAGAACTCATTCTCTGTCCTGCACTGAAGCTGTTACTTCTACAAGCAACTAGTCATCTACTTCCTCGTATGCTATTTCTTACAATGAGAAGCTTTAGGATCAATTTCACTTGAAACTGCCACTTCGCCGCCCGGAAGCCATGGTGCTGATTCTGTTTAAATTCAGTGAAATCGGGAGTAAACGATACACAATTGTTTACAGATTTTCCTAAAGGCGATGTGTTATCAAAGCGCGTGGTGTAATTAAAATGTACATATACCTGATCACATGTCAACAGGTGACGTCACGGAAATAAGACGTGTCAGACGGTCACACTTCGATTTATAATTAAACCTCGACAATTTATTACGAAAACCTGGTCACGTTCAATCAATTAAGAGTATTATCAAGAGATGTCATTTTGTGTAAGGTAGTTCGTAGCCACAAGTTACCTATACAGTGCCTGTATATCTCTATAGTATTCCTAGTTACATTGACAAATACCCACATTTTTATAAAATTAATGAAACCTGCATGTCCTGTTTACATTTTCATATTGAGCCCCTAGCAATCTAAAAATGGACCTTTTTACATATCACTGAGATCTACGTTTTATTTTAGGGTAATATGTTTTTGAGGAAGTCATCTTCACTGTCGCGTACTTGGTGCTGAGGGAACCTTTCAAGGTGGCGGCATACAGACAAACGAGAAGTTATATATTGTGTTTCTTTGCATTTATCTAGTGCTTTTGAGATTTTTTAACGACACACACTTTACCATAAAGTTCTGGTCGATACCAACCCATACATGTAATATAGAAAAAAATTAAACTGAAAAATATATTTTTATTGAGCTTTATCGAAAATCCAAAAACGAAACGGTGACTTTCCGGAAAATTCCAATGTGTGAACTTAGCACTGTGGACTATTTTATGCCATTATAAAATGGAAACGAATTTAGGATTCTTTGATCACGTGATCACTTATTCTGGCAAATATTGCAGTCACAATGGAATCTGTGACGTCATTATCTAATCCGGACTATATAATAGGTCATGTCGTTATATAACATGGGTTAAAATTGATAGATTTTCGTATTTGGCTTATAAACTGGTATATGACATTTTTTACTCGTGTCATTAAAGGATAAACTACTTTCAGATTCCGGTTCCCTGAAAGTCTAAATAACACTGCAGATGTATGGTAAAATATAGCTGTATTGTCCAGAGCTCAGGAGTGAATCCAGGAAGGACAGTGGTTAAATGTCTTTACGTTATTAATTAAACCACATAACTCTCTAGATTAATGAGTTTTATTTGTCTTATCAATGATATAAGATATACTGAATCTTAGTTATTTCATAATAAGATCCTGAACTATAATTTAATCCGCAATAGAATATCTGGTGTATAAGACGGAAAAAATGAAAATATCAACAAAAACATAATAGACTTTCATACTAAGCATGTACATTTCTATTTTGTCGTGAAAATACAAGTATTCACAAAACATGAACAGAAAGCTCCAAGACATTAGTCCCCGAGTTTACCCGAACCATGATGTGTTTGGAGGCCATTAATGATAGAGCGGTGTTTGGCGGTAAGTATACCATAGACTCCGACTGAAAGAGTGTATGAAATGAGCCCAGACGATATAAGTGGCACGATGATGGTTATGGTCAGTAAATGTCCCCGGCCTAATATATACATATTTTAGGTTTAGTAATGCTGTGACATGTCCAATTTTTCGTCGTAAAGAAAAAGCGTCACTCTTAAAGGCCAATAAAACGACATCTAGCTGTTATTACTCAGCAACTTTGCTTGAAATTTTACTGTGAAATGTTCAACGTTCTTAAATGTCATGTAAAGCATATCTTTCCGGATTTTAGGTACCGGATACGGATCCCTTATTGCGATGGTATTGATCGTGAATATTAGGTCCTGCGTTGGCAGAGGGTTGGATTGAAATTGTACTTATTGAAGCCGCTAGCCCTGTTGAGCCTGTAAAGCAACGTGTCAGAAAGTTACGGAAATGGAAACAAGGTGTACTTGGCTACAGGTGTGGCCGTGAAAGTAAAATTGCAAGATATGTGCAATTTTTACGACAAGTGAACGGCGGCAGGAAATGATCGGATCCAATCATTCCCAAGTCCATTTCTCTGAAGACTATGCCATTTCAGAGACAGATTGTTTTTGATGGAATGGGAATGGCGAAACAATGGATCAATATGTAACGGATTTGAAAACAAAAGTTAATTTTGTAAATTGCGATCAGTATGTAACGGATTTGAGAAAAAAAGGAAACTTGGTAAATTGCGATCAGTATGTAACGGATTTGAGAAAAACAAACAAAAGTAAATTTTGTAAATTGCAATCAACGTCACTTGATGGGGAGAGTCGCATCACTTTTTTGATGAAATATCAATGCGCAATGGGCTGTTTTTATATCAAACGAACCATAGAATAGATAGAGAATGTACGGTCAATGTTTTGAAATATAAGTTATATTTTGGCGAGGATGAAGGACAAAAGTGGGGAGCCTTTGGCTTTGGAATTTATCCCGTGACACTGACTGAAAATCAGACAATCAAAACTTTAGCAGTTTTGTACGCCAAAATAATTGCTCCACGCAGAAAAAATAGGTCCAAACTTCAATGAATATGACGGCGATTTTATGATTTTTCGGAAATAATCCTGTTTACTTTACAGCATACCAAATAGCTTATTTAAACAGTTATTTCTTGCAGTCAAACGTAATCTAAAGTCATTTCAGAATGAACGCACGTGCTAAAATTACAAATGTTATCCGTCACTGTCGAGTTCATCAAAAGTATATGTGGCAGGTATATTTCAACAATGGCAGTTGCAGGATACATAGATAATACATGGTCAGTGCCTTAAAATATACGCTGTATTTTGGCGAGGGTGAAGAAAGCCAAAAAAGGCGAGGCACTTTTGTCTTTCTGTCGCGAGCCAGACACTGACCATGTATTCTATTCACCCTGTAACAGTGATGGAAAATCAGACTATTGAAACAGTTTTTGTTGTTAAATCCGTGTTTATCTAATGTTGACGTTACGATGAATTTTGCCTCATGACGGGCGCCATAGTAATTACTCCGCACGGAAATATGTTCCAAACTTGATCTGATACAATAGCGATTTTATGAATTTTCATATATCAACTTGTTCATTTAATCATGTAAAATCGCTTATTTCAACAACCATTTATAGTTCTAAATGAAATATGTAAGTATTCAGAGAGTAATTCTATCGAATTACCGCACGTGCTAAATTACAGCTGTTTTCCGTCACTGCCGAATACAGCATAATATATATGGCAGGTGCATTCCGACAATTGGAACGCCAGTTGGAAGATAAAAGAATTTAATTAATTGAAATAAGAGTTTACACTTTTATATCGATAATCAAGTTATATTTGTGACTATACTATTGCATATTATTACTTTTTTACAATGACAAGAGGAACTACATGTATGTTATTACGTCTGTTCACGGATTTTAACTTGCTGACGTCAGTATTTGGTTATGCGGGAAATTTAAACTTCGTTTTCCCGGTGTCCGTTTCGTTTCGAATTTTTAAAGATATTTGTGAATGGAACTATAAATAATGATTTTTACAAGGTGGGCATACAATTGATATAAAGTCAATGCGGAAAGAATATTCATGTCGCCCAGGGCAACCGAATGTGCTTCATATCAAATGTTTACCCCATCTAGTAAGAGTATGTTAAACTGTCAGGCTTACTTTTCCATCTAGATCTAACACGTTGTGAAACAAGAGTACCACCGGGAGGAACAATGTTACCAAAGAGAATATATCATTACACTGGTACAAATAGGCAAATGAAGCCATTATTGTCTAAACAAAATGTCATTGAAAACACACAATCCCATGTCATTATGATGAAACCGGTCAAAATTGTAAGTAGTATGTAAAACAACTGAAGGAATTTCTAGGCAAGATACCAAATCAAGGGCAACAACTTCCAATACACAATGGAAGGATAGCTGTTTTTTCAGTCGGGGCTAGGGGTGGGGAAGAGACAGTGTTTTATATTTTGGTGATACAGCTTACCAAGTTTAAAAGAGATCGGTCTAAAACTGAAAGAAGACATATTAGACATATGTAAAAGCTAAAATAACAATGGGCAATAACTATGTTACTATTCAATTACTGTTCAGGAAAACGTTATACCTTCCAAACATTGTTGAATGAAAATGCCTTTCAAACAACACAGCTTTATTTTCCCATGTGTAGCTTTTATCCCATCAGTCAGTCTATGATCACACCTGAGGTGTCGACGGAAGTCACTCTAGATTTTATGTTCCACGCTTAACATGAGCTTTAAACAGAATTGACTGTTCACAATTGTAACACATTGTGGGCCGACACGGTAAGAAAAGAGAGACCCGCATTACTATGCACAATGAATAATATTTCGAGCATTTAAGTTTAATAGGCATTGATGACGGCGAGCAATATAAGACTATATTGTTTGATGATTTTTTTTTGCGCCAACCTACATGTATCCATGTTCTGTGTATGGAGGAAAGCAGTTGTATTGGTTTAGCCGGGAAATGTTGATCGTTTTTCATTTGTCTCCAATAAAAAAAAAACTTTTTATTCCAAAAGCGATCAACGATGACTTTTGACCTTTGACCTTTAACTTTGACTGATGTCTACCAATATGCAACGCTACATGAATTAATTCTGTTGAAGAGTTCTTTAACTACAAATGTATCTTGTACACAAGCTTTTTATTTAAAAAATGACCAAGGTTGATCTTTCGACTTCTGGTTTTAACCGATGACCACTCAAACTACTTGATGGTGTGATGTTACGTTAAAGTTCTAGGACCTGTACCATCATTGGAATAGACCAGGTCACGGTGGAATATAAACATAACAATACACCATTGTTTGATCTGATCACATGAAGGATCGTTTAATTAGCTTCCATTAAATAAATGCTACTGGAAATTTCAAAAGTCCCAGAAATCGTCATTCTGGAGGAGATCCCGCTCGAAAGCGGACCCAATGCTACCTCCCGAGCTGGCGTTCCTTTCTCTGAAAGACGGACCCTCGATGTTGTACAATTCGATTGGGTGATTGCTGTCCTCACTCGATTTTCGGAGACCCAACCAACTGGCAGCATCCAACATTTTGGGAGGCTCTACAAAACAGAAAATGGGTAACAAAGAGTCTCTCCGAAACAAATTCAAAATTAATTTCTATCTGCAGGTGCGATAGAGTGATTCACAACGTCTACAAAAACTAATATCTGAATTTAACCCGTGTTAATTGAAACGCTGCAGCGACAGTCCCACATTGACGTCCTGAATACATCGTTTATTTTTCATCGAGTCCCCAACGTAGCCAGCACAAAGGCAAGCTAACCAGCACCTATCAACCACAATCCATAAAGAACTACAGATTACGGGACATTCCAGAGCGCGAGAATTCCCCAAAGGAAGAAGCAGACGAGCGGATGAGGGTAGGTGATAATTTTCATTCCAGATTCCACAACTCGGGGTGACAAGGCGGGATTGGCTGCGTTCGCGTACGAAGTACAGAATGAGCGAAGCGGGCCGTGATCGAGCTTGGATCTCGCGCGAATGAATAAGGGAGAGTGGTGTTTCGTACTGTAATAGAATAAGAAGTAATCATACAAAAATAACAACGTGTCCAAAACTTATCAACAAAGTAATCATAACGGTAGATGATAATAGCGAAAGAAAGTACGTGAAACCCAATCTACTAAAATCTAATAACAGAATCACATAGTTGTAAATGTTAATGAGGTTCTTCCCTGTGTGTAACAGCTTGTACAACAGCATTTCACACGTAAAGTTGATGCAACACACTATAAAATTAACATAATGATCCAAATCATAAACATGGAAATGATTGAGTACATAAAGGATTTTTATGTATCATCTTAACACCATCAGTATTACATAGGTGAGTAGGATTTACATTAATATTGCAGTTATACAACATCAAAGATTCATGTACCATAGTGACACAGTGACAAAACAGTAAAAGTTACCATGGTAACACAGTGACAAAACAGTAAAAGTTACCATGGTAACACAGTGACAAAAAAGTAAAAGTTACCATGGTAACACAGTGACAAAAAAGTAAAAGTTACCATGGTAACACAGTGACAAAAAAGTAAAAGTTACCATGATGTAAAAGTAAAACAAAAGTAAGACTATGCACAACACAATGATACAAAAACAAAGTTACAAGAATAACACAGTTATACAAAACCAGAGTTACAAGAATAACACAGTTATACAAAACCAGAGTTACAAGAATAACACAGTTATACAAAAACAGAGTTACAAGAATAACACAGTTATACAAAACCAGAGTTACAAGAATAAAACAGTCATACAAAACCAGAGTTACAAGAATAACGCAATGATACAAAAACAGAGTTACAAGAATAACACAGTTATACAAAAACAGAGTTACAAGAATAACACAATGATACAAAAACAGAGTTACAAGAATAACACAGTTATACAAAACCAGAGTTACAAGAATAACACAGTTATACAAAAACAGAGTTACAAGAATAACACAATGATACAAAACCAGAGTTACAAGAATAACACAGTTATACAAAACCAGAGTTACAAGAATAACACAGTTATACAAAACCAGAGTTACAAGAATAACACAGTTATACAAAACCAGAGTTACAAGAATAACACAGTTATACAAAAACAGAGTTACAAGAATAACACAGTTATACAAAACCAGAGTTACAAGAATAACACAGTTATACAAAACCAGAGTTACAAGAATAACACAATGATACAAAAACAAAGTTACAAGAATAACACAGTTATACAAAACCAGAGTTACAAGAATAACATAGTTATACAAAAACAGAGTACAAGAATAACACAGCTATACAAAAACAGAGTTACAAGAATAACACAGTTATACAAAACCAGAGTTACAAGAATAACACAATGATACAAAACCAGAGTTACAAGAATAACACAGTTATACAAAAACAGAGTTACAAGAATAACACAATGATACAAAACCAGAGTTACAAGAATAACACAGTTATACAAAAACAGAGTTACAAGAATAACACAGTTATACAAAAACAAAGTTACAAGAATAACACAGTTATACAAAAACAAAGTTACAAGAATAACATAGTTATACAAAAACAGAGCTATAAAAATAACACAGTTATACAAAACCAGAGTTACAAGAATAACACAGTTATACAAAACCAGAGTTACAAGAATAACACAGTTATACAAAACCAGAGTTACAAGAATAACACATTTATGCATAAGTAGAACTACCTGGGTAATAAATTGATACAAAGTTAGAGTTACCATGGTTACACAGTGATACAAAGTAAGAGTTATCCGGTTAACAAAGTGATGCAATAGTAGAACTACCAGGGTAGTACATTGATACAATGTAAGAGTTACCATGGTAACGAACTGATAACAAACGTTGAGCTACCACGGTTATACATTGATACAAAGTAAGAGTTACCATGGCAGTACAGTGATACAAAGTAAGAGTTACCATGGTAGCAGTGATACATTTTAAGAATTACCATGTTAATATAGTGTTACAAAGTAATTGTTACCGCGGCAGCACTGTGATACAAAGTAAGAGTTACTGTGGTAACGCTCTGATATAAATTAAGAAATACCATAATACCACGGGTAATACAAAGTGGTTTACCCGGTCAGGTGTGAACTAAAGTCATTTCTTTCATGTAATACCAAGTAAGAGTTAAAATGGAAACACAATTATACAAAGTAAGGGTTACCATGGTAACACACTGATACAAAAAGTAGAGCTACCACGGAAATATAGATATACAAATGTAGAGCTACTGGGGTAACATAATGATCCAAAAGTAGAACTACCAGAAAAATATATTGATACGATGTTAGAGTTATTATGGTAACCGTGATATATTTTAAGAGTTACCATAGTAATATAGTGATACAAAGTAAGAGTAACTATGGCAACACAGTGATAATAATTAAGAAATACCATAATACCATGGGTAATACAAAGTGGTTTACCTGGTCAGGTGTGAATTATATCCATGCAATACCAAGTAAGGGTTACCATGGTAACACAATTCTACAAAGTAAGAGTTACCATGGCAACACAGTGATACAAAAAGAAGAGCTACCATGGTAATATAGATATACGAATGTAAGGTTACCGGGGTAACAAAGTAATGCAAAAATAGAACTACCAAGGTAACACAGTGATACAAAGTAAGAGTTACCATGGTAACACAGTGATACAAAAAGTAGGCTACAAGGTAATACATTGATACAAAGTTAGAGCTACCGGGGTAACAAAGTAATGCAAAAGTAGGTCTACAAGGGTAATATATTGATACAAAGTAAGAGTTACCATAGTATCACAGTAATACAATGTAAGTTAACATGGTAACACCGGCACAAAATAAGAATGACCATGGTAACACAGTGATTCAAAATGAGAGTTACCAGAGTAACACAGCGACACAAAAATACTAGTTATCCTGGTGACAGTTAAATAAAAATGTGAATTACCATGGTAACACAGAAAAAGCGCACTGTCAGTTTGTGACGTACCAGATTGCTGCTAGAACATCTAAGATGTCCCTTAAACCTCTGTATACAGTTTCTGTACTCGAATCTTTAAAAGGGAATTTTACCGGTTTTCTTTCAAGTTTTTTCTGAAATTTTCACTGCATGCACTTCAAATAATGAGCCCAGTAGTTTGATAAAAGTATTTGGTGCAATTAAAACAAAAATCGGATTTCTTCTAAGAAAACTTGTTTATGTGAGAAATAATCATTGTTTTAACACATTGTTTTGAGGAAATACTGACCCCTGTGGAGCCCCAACAAAACTGACTAATATTGAAATATTAATCTTTTCGCTTTTAATGACACCTTTACCGGTTCTCGATTTTCCTATTTTCACTAATTGTTCTTGACCTAAAGGGCCACGTAATGTATAAAGATACTTGGTGCACTCAAGCTGGAAGTACATGCTTCAGATGTTTTAATAATTGTCTTAGCTGAAAAAAAAAATGTCAAAAATCTCATTTTCCAATTTTGAAACTATATGATTTTTTATACATATTTACCTCTATATTGTTAAACTGATCCTTGGTAGTCAAACAGTATATCAATTGCTTATGAACGCTGTTGATTTAGTACTTTTTTCAGATGGAAAACTGAACCCCAGTCTTACTCAAATGGTTACGATACTAAATGGCACAGGCACTATGGACCTTTTAAATGATTTAATCTTATTTCATTAGTAATCCTCAAGGTGCTACAAATACCACCCATTTTTATTCAATTTGGTGCGTGGAAAAAATCCATTGTTTCTGAAAGAGATTCATTATTTAAAACGTAAATCGAAATGAACTGATTTCAGCTGACAGCCTATCAATATTTGATATGACTTTTATAATGTGATTGGTCGATTTTGTGATGTGTAAGAGCGAGTGTAATTAATTATAAATAAGATGTTTTTCTTTGATTTATAAACTCACGTTTAACGGGCGATGTCCCTCTTTCAGACAGAGAATCTGTGTTTAAACATTCTTCAGCACGAATGCCCTCCTGGTCCGGAAGTAGTTGTATTGTGCGAGCAATTATTGGTGGACTGTCTTGTACTGAAATTGAGGCCAATTCTAGAGTTGAAGATGGGTGTTCCTCTTCAAGTTTGATAGCAAGTCCTGTGATTCCCAATTGATCCAAAGACGAAGTCGATTCGTCACTTCCGCCTGAACACGTGTTCGGTGACGTATGTAGTTTTGGAAAAACTAAATCAACTTTATGCTTCTTTTTCTTAATTCCTTTTCGTTTTTCCGATTCACATTCGTCTGGTTTAGATTTTTTGCTGCCTAGTACTTTCTCTGACTCTTTGTTGTTCTTTTTTCGCTCCTTGCTTGTTAAGGATTGTAATAGGAAATCCCATTCCGTATTGTTTCCTGACAAATCTTCCTCGTCGTCATCACCTGTTGGGTAATGAGATCGTATCTATTACATATCTAAATATGTCTTGAAAGGTATTTTATCACATGATTGTATAGTTTTGCGTATTACAGGGTGTAATATAGTTTAGTGTAACGTCACATTAGATATACAAATGACGTCACACAATCACAGGTGGCATTGTGGAGTAACAATGGAAACCATAGATACGGAGCCGAAGACACTTCAAATAAGATAAATGTCCGTTTTCTACAATGTTTTCTGACTTTTTTTTTCTTTTTTAATTGTCAAATTATTTAAGCTCGCCTTCCTTGCATCGTTTCATAAATTCACACATCAAACGGAAACTCGTGTAAGATTATATATATATGTGTGTATGTCGTTTTGTCCGAGACTGTTCTCATCAACCCCGATAGGTTTTGTTAATGTTATAGTTATCACACGGTTCAATGTTATGATATATATTTTTTTAAGTTTTCTGCATATCCATTATTACTGTATGTTTATAACACATCAGCTGACATGATATATCAAGTTTCGTGATTTTATTAAGCGTGTCAGTGGGGAACATAAAAATGAGCTCAGCAGAGACAAACGAGTCCTCTTTATGTTTGATATTCGTAAAAATGAGAGAAAAGACACTTTTAAGTACACAAATAGTGTAGGGATATTCTACCACCTTCGTTACACAGCTAATCAATTACACACGTTACACAGCTTATCAATCACACACGATTACACAAATAACCACACACGTCACACAGCTAACCACTCATGTTACGAAGCTAAACTCACACATTAACCAGTGAACTGCAAACAATACACAACTAAACATACACTTTACAGTTTACTACATTCGCTATAAAGTTAACCACACTCTTGGTTATGCACGTTACTATTCGCATACGTATTCCAAACTACTCACGTTACACAGATAACCCAGTTTCCCACACGTTACACAGTTATACGCATACCTTGTCATCTAGCTACGTACTTAGAATAGTTAACCAATGACTTACATGTATAACTACAAGCGCTAAATAGTTAACCAAACACGTAAATCATTTAACCACACACGTTGTAAAGTAAACCATACACGCTACACAGCTAACCACATGTTACAGAGTTAATTACACACGTTATATAGTTAACCACACACACTGCACTTTTAACCATACATGCTACACAGCAAACAATACGCTAGAACACAGCTAACACATGTTAGACATTTAGCCGCACCTGCTACAAAGTTAACATGTTACACATCAATGACACACGTTATACACCTATCTACACACGTTCAATAGTTAACAACACACTATGCAAAGTTAGCCACACATGTTGTAAAACTAACCAAACATCTTACAAAGCTAACCGTATATGCTTCATTGTAGATTGCAAACGCACCAAACTGCAATACAAACGTTACAGTTAACCACAAGCGCTTCATCGCTAACAACATATGTTATACATTAACCATAAAGGTTGTCCACAAAACTACGCCATTACACAGCTAACCACATACGTTGTACACCTATTTACACAAGTTACACAGCTAACCACATACGTTGTACACTTATCTACACAAGTTACACAGCTAACCACATACGTTGTACACCTAACTACACAAGTTACACAGCTAACCACATATGTTGTACACCTAACTACACAAGTTACACACCTAACCACATACGTTGTACACCTAACTACACAATTTACACAGCTAACTATATACGTTGTACAACTAACTAAATATATAACACAGCTAACCACATGCGTTGTACAACTAACTAAATATATAACACACCTAACCACATACGTTGTACACCTAACTACACAAGTTACACACCTAACTACATACGTTGTACACCTAACTACACAATTTACAGAACTAACAACATACGTTGTACAACTAACTACACAAGTTACACAGCTAACCACATGCGTTGTTCAACTAACTAAATATATAACACAGCTAACCACATACGTTGTACACCTAACTAAACATATAACACAGCTAACCACATGCGTTGTACACCTAATTACACAAGTTACACAGCTAACCATATACGTTGTACACCTAATTACACAAGTTACACAGCTAACCATATACGTTGTACTCCTAACTAAACATGTAACACAGCTAACCACATGCGTTGTAGACCTAATTACACAAGTTACACAGCTAACCACATGCGTTGTACACCTAATTACACAAGTTACACAGCTAACCACATACGTTGTACACCTAATTACACAAGTTACACAGCTAACCATATACGTTGTACTCCTAACTAAACATGTAACACAGCTAACCACATGCGTTGTACACCTAACTACACAATTTACAGAACTAACAACATACGTTGTACAACTAACTACACAAGTTACACAGCTAACCACATGCGTTGTTCAACTAACTAAATATATAACACAGCTAACCACATACGTTGTACACCTAACTAAACATGTAACACAACTAACCACATGCGTTGTACACCTAAGTAAACATATAACACACCTAACCACATACGTTGTACACGTAATTGCACAAGTTACACAGCTAACCATATACGTTGTACTCCTAACTAAACATGTAACACAGCTAACCACATGCGTTGTACACCTAAGTACACATGTTACACAGCTAGCCTATATACGTTAAGGATGTTTGTTCCTTTGACGTATGGCTGGAAGTAAGGCACAATTTAATGTTAAATTAATTCCAACATAATATGTGTGCAATAATATAGTGTTCTCATAATCTTTGTTCTCTAAAGTTGATTTAATTAAAAACTTCAAACCGATTTGACGTTTTGAAGAATTTTCACATGCGGACTACTTAGTAGTTGAAGGCGTGATTCGGTTAATACCAATGCCAACATTTTCTGGTTGCTAAGGTATTTTCTTTGAGTATAATTCTTGAAGTCTTGGATAGATTTCAACTAATTTTGCCTGAATTATCACGACAAATAACAGATTTATAATTCGTCTATTCTGACTTGATGGACCACTATCATGGGTGTGTATATACGTTTCTGATGTTAGGTGTGTATATACGTTCCTGATGTTAGGTGTGTATATACGTTCCTGATGTTAGGTGTGTATATACGTTCCTGATGTCAGGTGTATGTGTATACGTTTCTGATGTCAGGTGTATGTGTATACGTTTCTGATGTCAGGTGTATGTGTATACGTTTCTGATGTCAGGTGTATGTGTATACGTTTCTGATGTCAGGTGTATGTGTATACGTTTCTGATGTCAGGTGTATGTGTATACGTTTCTGATGTCAGGTGTATGTGTATACGTTTCTGATGTCAGGTGTGTGTGTGTATACATTTCTGATGTTAAGTGTGTGTGTATACGTTTCTGATGTCAGGTGTATGTGTATACGTTTCTGATGTCAGGTGTGTGTGTATACGTTTCTGATGTCAGGTGTGTGTATACAACTCTGTTGTTTTTGTATAGATCTAACAGTTCGTGTCCTTGGCTAAGATGAAGAACACCATGTTTGATGCGAGTACATGTGCGCGTTGTCTAGCCCTGCGGTTCTCAAACGTGAATGAGGTTATTCAGCAGCAGAAAGCCAGATTTCAAAAATGATATTATGGCATAAATTCCATTCACAAAATAATAACCTTGGGTTTTCTTTTTCCCGGTCTTATAAACGCGACGTTATAAGCCATCACTTACGAGCTGTTCTGCCAATTAAAACTCGCTAATCAATTTCGTATGGTACTATCACTTTAGTTTCATAACACGTCAATATCTGTTACGGTAAAATGAGATATGACCTCATGATAAAACTGATATTCTTTATCAAGCAAAATAATCTCATTTGTGTTATATTTGCAAACACAAGAACTTTTATATCCCCACGTTAGAAAGATAGATCAACGTGCTCCTTCTCGAGAGATGTGAAGAATCTTGCGAGAAAGTTTTCACTGTTTACTACCGACCTCACTTAGTTACCTTACTCACACTTTTAACATACTCAAATTAAGTTGTCTCCCAATTCACGCATCCAAAATTACCACTCTGAAACATCCGACACGACCTATACTACAAGTGTACCCAAATTACCAGTGATTCACCCGACACGCTCCATGTCACAAGTGTACCCAAATTACCAGTGATTCACCCGACACGCTCCATGTCACAAGTGTACCCAAATTACCAGTGATTCACCCGACACGCTCCATATCACAAGTGTACCCAAATTACTAGTGATTCACCCGACACGCCCCATATCACAAGTGTACCCAAATTACCAAGATTTTGACCGAAATGTTTAAGAAACGCAGTCTACCGGAGAAATGTAACTAAGGAAGGTTGACCAGTCTATACCATCACACCCTACAGCACTAATGTGGCACGCCAATTACTCTCCAACACACCTCAGCAGTATACCTTGAACACTCAATATTATCATTGTTAAACGAATGAAATACTCAGTGTCAAAGGTCGTGACGAAAAGTTACCACGCCATCACAAGGCTCGAACACAATCTACTTCACAAAGTCTTCGCCGCCGATGTCAACCGCCACCTAGATTATTTGGTTGGGACTTACAATGCACGCGAAAAGTTCCCTTCTAAATGTAGCGAATATGCCTGTAGTGTTTTAGACCACAAATTCCCGTCTAAGTTACCACTACACTCCACACGTGCAAATAATAACCTCGACCTGGCATGTTACGAGTAACGAGTAAAGAGAGGACATCCATCTTCTTGCAGTTGACAGCGAAGTCTGCTGCCAGTACATGGTGTTGCATCCTGGAGCAAGATACGTAATCCTTACTACTCTTCAAGTGGTCAGGAATAGGTTGTACGTACCTTATAGCAAACACAATACACACGGCACACGCTGACGTGAATACATTTCAACCTGTATATTCGTGACAGGTCCGGATCAACTATATATATAGTTTACAAATTCGTAGAAACATGATAATTATACAGAAGTAACGAAAATAAAATACCCCTTCAAACGGTACGAGAATTTAGAAGTTTCATAGTCAAGACAAAAAGAGACGTCCATTTAATGTTTTCATATATTTTATATATATATAATGAGTATTTGTGCATGTGGACAGGTCATGTGTGTAGACAAAACACTTTCAATTGTTAGTGTAGATATCTATATTCAGTCTGCACCTGATCGGTTTACATGTTCCTAACCTACAAATATGTGGCCTTATTGGAAAATATACTTAGCTCTATTCTTGTATATTTAGAAAATAAATTAACCCTATTCCACACTTATGTATCAACTCACTTCTAAATTTACATCAACCACGATTGAACCGCACACCGTGCACACAGATTTGCGATAGCAAATTCCGTCCAGTTTTCCAATCGCGCAGACACTCGTGCAGGCATCATGTACACATTGTTCGACAAGGCCACAATGCATGGCACCTACAAGATTTATCATTTCTATTTCCACCTATAGATAATTGTAATACCAACCGTCAAACGAGATGATGTTGGAGCCGTCGATGCTGATGATGACTTCCTCAAAGCCTTTAGGTTTAGCCAGTCCTTCTTGTTTCACATAGAAATCATCAACCCTTTTTCTGTTTTCGTCATCCAACTGACGGGTTCGATGTGAACACTTCCGACAGGTAAAATCACCCTTTCTAATTTTTGGACAAAATTCTTCACACACTTGGCAATAAAAATGGTTCTGACATTGCAGTGGTCGAATTTTGATATTCTTCTGATAGCAGAAATCACACCCTCCCACTTTGGAAGGGTTTGTGTTTTCCGGTCTGACTCTTCTCCGCGACAAGTAGCTTCTGTCCATGATGGGAAACTAGCTACGTTCTGACATTCTTCTGTCGCCTGGACGGTTAAGACGGTTGCTACGCTGTGACGTGACTTGGACTGTGACGTAATGATATTCTCATCATTAGCTAATCGGAAATCGTCGGACCTTTTCGAGAACTGCTGAAAGTAATCGGCTTCAAACTCTCCGCTAGACTTCGCTTTGAAAATACACGTACAACGATAGACTGGATTGTCTGTGTTAATTGCAACTTTTCTCCCAAATATATAGAGAGCATTATTGTATTTATGGTAACATTTGCACTTCAACTGTCACAAGTCGACATTGAAACAGAAGGAATTTCGACCCCAAATCCAACCAACGACTCTTTGACTGAATTAGTCAATCAGCGTCATTTTGGTCGAGATTTGGACCAAAATGGCGGCCATGACCTGTCTTACTTTCAATGAGCCAGTGGCTCCGTTTTAGTCTCATTCGGGATTGTGACACACTTAAATTTACCAAAATTTGCATGGCAGGTGTCGATGATGAAGCGGAGGAGGCTTTGTGTTTGTCATACTTTTAACTCTGTACTAACTTAAAAGCAGTTAATTTCTGCAGAAAGTTTGAAAGCAAGTCTCACGTTAAAGGTTTTTTTTCTCAAGTAGAACTGGACAAGCAACACTTGAGTCACTATTAACACACAAAACAACAACAACAACAACACAAACACACACACGACACATCTGGCAATAGCCTATTCACAATCAACCACGTATTGTATTACTTTTGTGTCTAGATTGCATCTTGTTCCGGACAGGTTTCAGGTGTATATTCAAGGCAGCGATAGGGTTTCCTGTTACGAAACTGTTGTGACCTAAAATTCTTCGAGCAACCTCTTGGCAACTCTTTTATTTATATCAATTGTAATGCAGTCGCTGTCGCATTTGTCTCATTGTCAATTTTATTTATTATTGTTTATTTTCTATTTCCTGTAGCCTATAAATTGTGTAAACCTTTGCAAGTCATGGTCGAAGGGAAGTAACTCCTGTTTAGAAAAAAAATTCTGATAGAACAACACAAAAATTGAAATTACACATGTATTACATAAATAATCAGACAGCATATCACACATATCTGTGTACAAATGTGTAAAACATAAGTCCGGACTGGATATAAGGAATAGGCAATATCAAGTATGACACGATCAGACAGCGTGCCATATACCATAATGTGACATATCGCTGTAACACATTTAAGACACACTGTCTCTCGAATAACGTTATTTTTCGATGGGATGTTATTTTGGTGGTGAAGTAAGCATTACTCAAAGGAATACCAGTAACCTCTTTTAATCACAATCTAGTTTAGCCAAATTTTCACACCCGTGTGTAGTATTCCTTATCTCATACCTACAAATTTACATTTTAGAGGAATTCGGTAAAATCTGATGATAATATCACAAGTGGTGAGAAATAAGTCACATTTCTATATCTGATATAACCACGATCATATTTAGAAAGGTAACAATACGGACAGTATACTGAGTGATCAGTCACATTAAGATTATCAATAGTTTGCATGCTTGTTTATTTCCGTGAAGCGATGTCGACAGTCTAGCTGTAAAGTTCACATCCGCTGACCATACTGATCATACTGATAACGTAAACACTTTGAACTAAAATATCTGTGCTACATAATACTTAAAATATAACTAAATGTTAAGGGGGGATATTGTTCCCTAATCACAGGTGACGAAGTGTGCCTGTCACCTCTGTCGTGTACTTTGTATCTATAATCCTTATGATTCATTTTGCAGTTTTCTGCATTGGAGGTCTAATGGCGGAAAAGCTGAACACACTATTCACACGGAAGGTACAAACAAGCATTTAAGTCATATTCTATCCGAAGTTAATGTTGATTGTAACCCACACTCTGAAGTGAAGTTTTCTGGGTAATATGTTATAAATATTGCTAAACATTAAAGTGAGTTTTCCGTCATCAATACAGTATGTATTGGATTCATGTGGTTTAAACGAACTGACAATCAAGTCTGCTTCAGACATTCAAATGCCACATGAAAGCAACGTACAGTGAGTCGCGCCTGCTTTGCCATGTCACAATCAAACGCCTTTCAATAAAAACTAACTGTTTTATATGTACTAAATGTCCTTTGTAACTTTAATTAAATTTGAATAATTTTTAATTTTGTGCTGTAACTATATATACATCTATATACAAATGTATTATGGTGGCTCCCCAACACATTTCTTTGCTAACTATGTACGCCTAGTCGGTTATAATGAGGAGTATACCAAATCGATTCTTTATTATAATGTAACCATAGGAAACCAGACGTGTCCTTTCCATAACCAAAGTGTGCCCCAACAGTTGAAAAATTCAAACTATTAAGTTTCCCCTCCGTTGAAACATGAAAAAACAATATAGTAAATTTTCGTTGTCGAATTTCAAATGAACACCAATTCACTTTTCAATTTGAATACTTCAGTATGTCTACGTGCTGGTGTTGATCAAAACTCAAAGTAAACGTGAGTGTAATATTTTTAATTGATTTCCCGGAAAAAAGAAACACGCGCTGATCGCAATGAAATCCGATATTACACATTGTAACTGGCCGTTGTTTATGTCACGTTGATATTTCGTGTCCGACAGTGATACTGTACAGGTTGAATGTTTGAAAAGAAAAAAGGGTCAAAATCCGACCAGTTCAATTCTGTTGTTACAACTGAGGAAAAGTTACATTGTAGTTCGATGTTTGATATTGTATCATTGTGTTACTATTATATAAATTACTACAAATGTGTCCCGCTGTATTGTAATTCTTAATCGTAATGGAAAATATGTGTAAACATAGGCACTTCAACTTCCATCTTAGAATTTTTTTTTTCAGTAAGCACGAGCTAGTTTTGCTCTATGTTAAGACTTTTTGGCACAGTTTCCAGGTATTATCATTCTAACGTCTATTTGTTGTAGTCCCAGTACAGCGTCAGTCATTTTCAGGATATCAACCAATATAAACTTTGAAATAGAATCTAATGTAAGTAATTTCATTAATTCTCGTATGGTTTTTATCATTGTCGATTTCGAGGGTACTCTTAAAAATTATATATATATAGAGAGAGAGAGACACATAGAGGGAGAGAGAGAGAGGGAGGAAGAGAGAGAGTGGAGGGATGGAGAGAAGGAGATAAAGGGGAGAGAGATAGAGAGTGGAGGGGGGAGTGGGGGAGTTGGTGGGGGAGTGAGTGAGAGGGGAGAGAGGGAGGGAGAGAAAGAGAGAGAGTGGAGGGAGAGAGGGAGGGGAGAGAGGGAGGGAGAGAGAGAGAGAGAGTGGAGGGAGAGAGGGAGGGGAGTGAGAGAGAGAGAGTGGAGGGAGGGAGAGAGAGAGAGAAGGGGGGAGGCAGGGAGGGATGGAGAGAGGGGGGAGAGAGAGTGGGGGGGGGGGGGAGGGAGAGAGTGGGGGGGAGAGAGGGAGGGGAGTGAGAGAGTGGAGGGAGGGAGAGAGAGAAGGGGGGAGGCAGGGAGGGATGGAGAGAGGGGGGAGAGAGAGTGGGGGGAGGGAGAGAGTGGGGGGGAGAGATAGGTCATGATATCAGATATGATTATTTGATTAGAGCAGATACCTTCACTGTATTGATAATCTACGGACCGTTGAAGAAATAGTAGCATTGGACAATCGATGGGATTTTAGCAAAAAAGAAAAAAAAATAACCCCAACGAAAAGATAATATGTACGCATGCATACAAGTGAGTAACAGTGCTGCATCCCCGACGTGTTCAGAACAATAACTTCTGTGGCGGTTACACTTGTTACACTCCACGAGTAAGACTGGGTCTTTGAACATAGAATCGCCTAAATTGACCAGTAGAGTTCTTCAATGTATTCTAATGAAATAGTCAATTTTATTATCATGCCTTGTATAGGATCACCACGTGCTGGCTTAGTACAGCTTAATTTAGCTTATATGACGTCATTCTATTGTTTATTATACTACTATAAAGCTGACAAGAAGAATACCGGCACACTTAGAATGATTTCTAGAAATTATAAAATGAACAGCGCATCTATTATTCTATTATTTAAATGATAAAGAATTATGACAAAAATATACTCTTCCGAGAAATGTAACAAGACTGTGGTAAGACAACAGCACAGGAAATGCAATGACAAGAGAGAGTCTAGTTACATGTATCTCTAGGGCTAATTACGTCACAAAGTACGTATACTAACTAGTAACCTACAGTGTGTATGTACATGTGTATCTAGTCCCTAGATAGTTGTAACCTCGTGAATACAATATATGATGAGCCCTACATGATTCACTGGCGTGTGATGATCGGATCACCGTGAGTCAACGGAAACCGTCATTTATGTTAGGAGAGGGAAACAAGACGGGGAAAGTCACTTATTTAAGGAGAGGAAACACCAAGGGAAATAGACATTTATATAAAAACACGGAAATGTCACAGAAAAGAAATACTTCCGTTATGAAAGGGGATCAACTCAGAGAGCTATCTCTTGAGTAGAAGAAAAGGGGAACACGACAGGGAAGATTCGCTTGTGTAGGAGAAATAGGGAACACAACAGGGAACAGTCGCTTGTGTAGGAGAAAAGGGGAACACGACAGGGAACAGTCTCTTGTGTAGGAAGAAAGATAACACGACAGGAAACAGTCTCTTGAGTAGAAGAAAAGGAGAACACGACGGGTAAGATTCGCTTGTGTAGGAGAAAAGGGGAACACGACAGGGAACAGTCTCTTGTGTAGGAAGAAAGATAACACGACAGGAAACAGTCTCTTGAGTAGAAGAAAAGGGGAACACGACGGGTAAGATTCGCTTGTGTAGGAGAAAAGGGGAACACGACAGGGACCAGTCTCCTGTGTAGGAAGAAAGGTAACACGACAGGAAACAGTCTCTTGAGTAGAAGAAAAGGGGAACACGACGGGTAAGATTCGCTTGTGTAGGAGAAAAGGGGAACACGACAGGGAACAGTCTCTTGAGTAAAAGAAAAGGGGAAC